ACTAACTCTTACATATTAATTTAACCCATTTCTATTAATCTGTGTATTGCCAGGTGGCTGTGGCTTACTGGCTAAAATTCTGGTGTCTGTCTCTGGCGGGCTACATGGCTTCTCTTTTGACTCTGCCTTCCGTCTCCCAGCATTCAGTTTAGTTTTCTCCACCTAGATCTGTTCTACTCTATCAGGCCAAGCCAGTTTTCTTTATTCATTAATGGTAACTACAGCATACAGAGGGGGAATCCCACATCACTGAGATTAAAGGTGGGCACCACCACTGCCTGGCATGCCTGCCCCCATCTTAGACTTTCTTGAGAGCTTTTCTTTAAGGTGAAGGAACTAAACACAGCTGTGAAGAGCCAGTGGGGAGCTGTGGCTGCTGAGGAGCCCTATGAAGCCTGTTTGATGTCTGACTGTTGCTCTCAGGAAGAAGACAGATTCTGCATAGCCAGTCACCACCAGGAAAATGCTGTGCCTTCCGATACCAAGTCCTCCCAGGGCACACCTTTGGCCTTGTTCCTGGGACAGGAAGTCACCTTTTCCGGAAGGCACAAGCCTAACTCACTTATCAGATGTGAGTTCACGAAGCAGACAACTGCCAAGAGTGGACAGTGGGCCGGGCACTGACCAAGGCTCTGTGAGACTCAAGGTGGCTTTGCTGTACCGCTATTAGCTACAGAACTTGGGCATCACATGGGTGGCAGAAGATGGTTCATGTGCCCTTAATGGATTTTTTAAATTAATTTTCTCCAGCAGAATACATAGCAAATTTCTCTCGAGGAAGAGACATTTTTGGGTACTCCGTCTTTATGTGGATAACTCAGGGTCCGGTGTGAGCAGGAGAGCAGCTCTGCGTGCGTGCGTGCATGTGTGTGTGTGTGCGTGCACGTCTTTCCACAGAAGAACTTACTAGTGAACCTCAGTGAATCATCACATTCAAAGGCTGTTTGTCAGCCACAGAGACCACTCTATTCTAGCCTCACCAGTTGTTATTAGAAACTTCTAGTGGAATGGAGTAAGTCATCTCATAGCCATCATCAAATGTAAGTCATCATCAAATGGCTAGAGTGGCCCAGGAAATCAGCACCACCACACCAGAACACATGGCTCACGAGACCGTCATGAGGGCAAGCCCTGAGTAGCACCTGGACTCTCGTTTCCTCTTTCGGGAAAGAGGCTAGGCAGCATCTGGAAGAAGGGAGGAACAGATAACTTTCCACTGAAGATTTCAGATGTTCAAAAGATGCTGAAGGAAGATGGTGCTGGGCCCAGAGAGACAGCCTGGTTGCTTCTCCGAACGGCGACTTGAGACTAGCCTCATGCAGAGAAGAGTGAGTGATTGTATGTTCTTCACCATTTGTAGCAAACTCAGTGAAGAATCTGTATAGTCTTAGGAAAAAAAAACCCATATATACCCATCTAGCCACAGACTGAGCCCCACTGGGCCCTTTTCTGAAATATTTTATACTCAAATAAAAGGCACACATGCCATCAAGAAAACCTCAGTTTCATCTAAACATATCACAGCAAAATATTTTCTTTCAGCAGAAATGGAGAAAATAACATGCAATCGTTAACTCAGCTTAACGCAGCGGCAAGGCAGGAAGAAGGCAGATGGGTTAATAGTTTTGGAAAAATGTCTGTTATTTTAGATCAGTCAGGTGGCTTAGCTAGCAAGGCTGGGGACCTGATTCAATCCCTGGAGCTCACATAGAGGAGAACTTTCCAGATAATTGTCCTCTGACTTCTACATATGCGCGCGCGCGCACACACACACACACACACACACTTTGACAATTTGAAAATGTTTCTTCTTTATTATCATTAGTGTTTGTGTGTGTGTGTGTGTGTGTGTGTGTGTGTGTGTGTGTACATGCACACATGCCCTAGCAGATGTGTGTCGGCCAGTTCTCTCCGTCCACCATGGGTTCTGGGGGAGGCATTCAGGTCATCAGGCTTGGCAGCAAACATTTTCATTCACCAAGCTATCTCCAGCCCTGTGCTAATGGTTTCTTAAGGCCCACAGGAAGGCTGGGTAAGACCTCAGAGTAACTCAGATTTCTCAGGTCACAGCACATGGCTCTCGAGACAGCCCTGTGTACTAAGCAGCACTTCCCTGCTTATCTGCCTGCACAGGACCCATTATTGTCTGACTTTCTTTCCAAACACAGGTGTTGTGGAAATGACTCACGCATGTCCACTTTTGCTTTGCATTGTTTTTTAGACCTTGAACTCCTGATTCTCCTGTCTCCACATTCCGAGGGCTGTGATTCAAGCATGGGTCACCATACTGAGCACTCCGCTGTCTTCACAGCTTGTCTCTGGCTGGCTTGCGCCTCGCAGCTTGCTCAGCCTGCTATTCATGTGCACACGTGCCCTGCCGGGGAAGTCACCGCTCTCTCACCACCGGTATTAGGGTCTGTGTCCGGTGCCGGCACACACGGATGAACTTTTAAGTCAGCTTATTTTCAGGAGGGTAACTTCTGAAGTTAGACCTTTGTCCTTCTAGTTCCTATTCTGTACTTCTTGTTTTGTGCTTTTTAGAAGCAGAATTTTACACAGCCCAGGCTGGCAGCAAGCTTGTATATAGCTGAAGGTGACTCTGAACTCCTGGTCCTCCTGACTCCAAATCCAAAGAACTGAGATTTCAGATGGGCACCACCATTCTAGCCTCACCCTGCATCGCTTTGTTGTTTTGAGACACAGCTCCAGGCAGCCCAGGCTGATGTCAAGCTTGCTGTGTAGCTGAGGATAAACTTGAGCTCCCGATTCTCCTTCTTCCCAACTGCTAGGATTACATCTAACATCATGCCACGTCTTTTGTATGCAGGGGATTCAACCCAGGGTCTTGAGCAAGTGAGGAAAGCAGTTAGTCACACCTCAGACCTCAGTCTGTTTCTAAAAATAGCTTTTCTTTTTCCTTTTTTTGGGAAAAAAAGCCAATGCAAACCAAACTGAGGGTACTGCCAGGCTGCTGGGGATTAAGACTGGGACCCAGTGAATACTAGGCAAGTACTAAACCAACCGAGCAATACCCCCAGCCTGCTAAGGTCATGTTGAACCCCAAGTTATTTTAGAGCCGCAGGCAGAGCCCAAGGTCCCAACCTGGAAGCGCAGCGCCATCTGGCGGCAGCTCCAGAGAACAGCCTGGAGAGGCCAGCGTGGAAGAGCAACCTGATGCCTGCTCTTTATACATTTTATTCAAAACTGTATAAAGAATCTCTGAGTCCTACATATTTCCAGAAGAATTACAGACTTCAGCTTAAGAGAGGGCAGAGTGCTGGGAAGATGTGACTATGCAGTCTAGTTCTAGCTTTATTTTGAGCAGCTGGCATCTTCTGGTAACGGTAGATAGGTAAGAGGTGGGAAGAGGCAGAATCAGGGGTGCTACCAGTCCCATCCATCCAGGTTTGGGGGTTCTGCTTTTTTTCATTCCCAAATAGAGTAGCTGCTTACTTTTTATGTTAGAGACAGGGGCTCACTATGCAGCCCTGTAACTCACTATGTGGACCAGGTTGGCCTCAAACACCTGCCTCTGTCTCCTTAGTGCTGGGATTAAAGGTATGGACTACCATGCCTGGCTCCTATTTTTTTTTCAGGCTGGCCTCAAACTCACAGAGATCTGCCTGCCTCTGCCTCCCAAGTGCTGGGATTAAAGGCGTGTGCCACTACCACCTGGCCTGGCTCCTAATTTTAAAGATTTATTTTATGTACACGGGTGTTTTGCCCGCACTGAGTGTCTGTACACCATGTGTGTGTGGTGCCCGAGGCCAGAAGGCACTGGATCTCTGGAACTGGAGTTACTGACAGTTGTGAGCTGTCATGTGGGTGCTGGGAGTGGAACCTGGGTCCTCTGGAAGAGCAGCCAGTGTTCTTAACCACTGGACCATTTCTCTAGTCCTTAATTACTAAAATAAATTTTATATCATGTAAGATTTTCTATGAACAGAGCAGAAAGCTGGGCATGGTGGTGCACATCTTCAATCCCAGCACCAGGGGATGGAGTCAGCAGTTCAAAGTCATCTTCAGCTTCACAGTGAGTCTGAGGCCAGCCTTGGCTACTGTTACATGAATCCTTGTCTTGAAAAGCAAAATAAATAAGCACAGTTAAATAACTACTTAAAAAGAGCAAACTGTGCGGGTTGGAGAGATGGCTCAGCGGTTAAGAGCACCGACTACTCTTCCAGAGGTTCTGAGTTCAGTTGCCAGCAACCACATGGTGGCTCACAACCACCTATAGAGATCTGGTGCCCTCTTCTGCCCTGCAGGCAAACATGCAGGTAGAACACTATATACATAATAAATAAACCTAAAAAAAAGCAGACTTATACAACTTAGAATAAGTATTAAGGACTGGAGAGATGGCTTGGCGGTTAAGAGCATTAGATGATCTTCCAGAGGACCTCAATTCAAATCCCAGCACCCACATAATCACTCACCATGGTCTCTAACTCCAATTCCAGGGAATCTAGTGCCCTCTTCTGACCCTTGAAGGCACTAGGCATGCATGTGATGCACAGACATTCATACAGACAAACACAAATAAATAAAAGTTTCAGCAGCAGTGCACGTTAGGCTACTACTATAATCCATCCACTACCTTTGAGGTGACGGCAGGAGGATTAGGAAGGAAATCAAGGCCAGTCCAGGCTACACAGGGATTGTGAGAGCAGCCTGGGCAACCCTGTATCAAAAACAAAAGTAAACAACAAGTCATTTCTGGTTTCAATGCTGGAATGTGGAGCTATTATTTTTCCCAGTAATAAATCGTTTTAGCCAAGGAGCACAGCAGGCAGGGCTTTCCCAGCAGAGAGGACCCACAGCGCTGTCTGCTGCTAGTGGCACCCTGGAATGTGTGTGGCACGGCCCGCACTAATGTGCAGCAGGACTCTTGTTCACAGATCAAATACGGTTTTTTACTTCCCTGACCTTTATGTTATTGCCCGATCGGTCCTAAAGCGCACACACTGAAGGCTGAACACAAAGAACTCTGCTCGATGAACTGATTTTAAAAAACAACCTTTTTATTAGTTTCAACATCAAAACTTGTTACATGTAATTGCAAAGTGTCCTCTAAATTACATTCTGCTTTTGTCACCTCACAGGACAAGGAATGTTTAGAGAGCCTCGGAACACAGGACAGTTGAAGCTGATAATGAACTATGGCCCGTCACATCAAGCACACTAAAACACGGACACATGAAGATCACTGGCCGGTTTTCACAAGTGCAGCGAGTATTCACTACAGTGCATGGGCCCAGGGAGATTAGACACGTCCAGATTCAGGAACAAATCCCACTGCAGGTTTGAGTATGAAGAACGAAGCACAATGGCTGCGAAGGCTTTCCCCACACTCCAAAGACGCAAATGCTCCACAGTGACGGGAACAAACACTCAGGGGCTGACAGCAGTGGCTATGGCGCAGTCGCGAGACCGACACCTGCTGTCTCCCCTTAGTTCTCCACCTGACTTTGGGAGATTGGAGACCAACAGGGAACAATACAGAAAAACACCAATTATCTGCATAGATAGAAAATAAATCCTCCTCATGGTAAGAATGCACACCCAGTCAAGGCCATGTGGGAGCTCCAAGGGTCACAGGACCCTCTTCAAGAGTTGCAGGTTCCCAAGAGAAAGCACAAACCCAAGTTAGCAGGTCTCTGCACATTTACCTCCCTGAGGTCACTTCGCAGCTCTGACAGAAACCTTACAGGGAACAGGACAAGTTCCCAGCCCTGGCTAGAGATCCAACAGCTGCTGTTGTGTACACCCAGCAGCCCTTCTGTGGAGACAGGGTCTCATAGAGCACAGGCTGGCCTTAAGCTGCAGCAATCCTCCTACCTTCGCCTTCCAAGTGCTGGGATGACAGGCGTGCCATCATGCCTGACGACATTTGGTAACCTGGACTCTCAACTGTCACATTTTGCTCTGCTCAAGAGTGAAGGAAACAGTGGCCCGCTGAGGATGAGGATGGCTCTGGAGAAGCACACTCCAAGGGGAGTGTAAAACGTCAACAGTCACTGGTCATGTGGTTGGTCAGGGTCCATATACCTTACTCTTAACTGTGTAGAATGTGGGCCTCTTGCTTAGAAGCAATATTTCCCCAGGACTCCCAATCTTCTACATTGTCACAAAAGGAAAGAAAAATAGCTCTTTTTCTTTGAGACAGGGTTTTGATTACATGTCCCAAGACGTTCTCATCCTTTCAATCCCCTTGTCTCAGTCTCCTGAAGGCTGAGATCACAGGCCGGTGCCACCACACCCACACAGCTGTTTCCTCAACACAGATGTGTTAAGGAACACAGAGGGAGAAGGAAAGGTGACCAAGCTCACCTGAGTGACAGGTGAGGGCCAAGACTCTACAGAGAAGAGACAAGCCGGCAGGCGCGAACCCCAGGCATCAAAGAATCATGCACACTTCTACTGATAATTACACCTAAAGCCATCCTTTAAAAATAAATCCCCAAGTCTGTAAAATAGTTTACATAGAGCTGAATAAACAGGGCGGCTTTTTTTTTGTGCTGAGGTGGATGTATTGACACGAATCTGGGCGCTTGCCCAGTGCTCTCTGGACAAGCTCTCTGGACAAGTTGCAGCAGCCGGGAAGCGTGAACTGGGAGCAGGCTGAAAACAGAAAGCATGGAGAGAGAGATCACAGATCTTCAAAACAAACTCAAAGAGTGTGAAAAGGAGCGATCGAAAGCTGCACAGTATGGCTTACAGCTCTTGGAGAGGCAAACTGGATTGCAGAGTCAATTGGGTAAATGTCATGAAGAAATGATGATCGTTACTGAGGGTAATAACCAAGAGAAGTATGCGCTTCAAAGAGAAGCTGAGCTCAAGAATCGGATGTTAGAAAGTTTGAGCTGTGATTGTGAAGCTTTGAAACAACAGAAAACGCAACCGGAGCAGTTAGAAATGCAGCTAAACAGAAGCCACAGGCAGGAAGTGAACGACCAGAAAAATAAGTTAGAGAAACTGAAAGTGGAGTTAGAGGGTAAGTGAGAAGCAGCTGAAGCAGAAGCTGGACCACCAGGAGGAAGTTCTCGCCCACAAATCGGAAGAGCCTGGCTAATGGAAGGTGTGAAAACTGCTCTCCAAGAAGAGGTGAACGAGCTGCAGTACAAACAAGAACAACTAGAATGCTCCACTGCTTCCTTAATGCACCGGGTAGACCGGCCTCAAGAAGAAAAAGAGGAGCGAGAGAACAAAGTGGCGCCGTATTATAAAAAGCTGGCGTAGAAAATCAGGATCTTCAGGTGCAGTTGGGTCACGCGCTTCAGCAAGCCTTGGATCCAATAGTAAAGGCAACTCCCTGCTTGCAGAGGTGGATGATCGAAGGGTGGCTAGGGAACGGCAGCTCAACTCGGTGAAAGTCAAATATCAGTCACTGAAGAAGCACAATGCATTCACCAGAAAGCAGATGAACAAAATACAGTTACAAATCTCCACATTGCTGAGGATGTGGGGATCTCAAACTGAGTTGGAGCAGCAGGAACGGTTGTTTACCATATTGGAACAGAAGAATGGTGAAATACAACACCTTTTAGGTGAAATTAAAAATCTGGAGAAATTTAACACCTTATATGAAAGTATGGAATCTAAGCCTTCCACATCAGCCAGCCCTTGTTCTCTAGAAGACAGCACCTACTATGCAGACTTACTTCAACTAAAGCTTGGTAAGTTAAACAAAGAAAGCACAAAAGGCGAGCAGAGAATGAAGGCGATGTTTGAGAGCCGGGCCCTGGATATTGAGCGGAAACTGTTTGTGAATGAAAGACACCTGCAGCTTTCAGAAAGGGAAAATATAAAACCGAGAGCTAAGTTAGATGAATCAAAGCTGAAGTACGAACCTAAACCTGAGAAAACTGAAGCGCCTGTGCTCAGAAAGAGGCGTGAGGTGCTGCCATCGGATGTAACCGCCCCAGAAGAGACACCTGCTGCCAGCACCATCGGGGAAGTTTCTAGACTGCCACTTCAGAGAGAGGAGAGAGTCCTGCCTCAATAGCTTAAGCGGTAGCGCTGTGCAGTCGGGACCGCCGGCCTCTTCAGCCATTCAGCCAGCTAGCCTCTCTCCTCCGAAGGAGAAGAAATGTGTGAAGCGCTTGGACGGTCCGGGCAGTGCTGAGGCCTTACGTGAACAAAGTGGGAACACCCCCAGCTCCCTCAGGTTTTCTGCAGATTGTAAGAAATCACACACCATCGTGTACGCATCCTCAAAGTCAACCCCGGAGATGCAGTGCCCACAGCAGGAGGGTGTTGCTCTGCGAGGCTCGCTGAAGATTGTGCCTGTGCACACAATACCCTTGTGGAACATTTTGCGTACACCAGCGCTAAGTCCTCTGTAACTAGAAATTCAGCTATCCTGTGATTCTAACCCAGAGCCTCCGTAAGTGATGGTCCTTCACAGACCGTGAACAAACCATTACCAGAGGAAATGCCTTTATTTAAACCTGTTTGCTGCACTGGACCAGATTTTGAAAGTGATAAATAATGTTCCTGAAGAACTGAAAACTGGGCAGTACAACACTGAAGTTATTAATTATGTTTTCCTATGTACAGTTTCATGAATAAATAAAAATTTATTTTCCCTGTCTTGAAAAAAATAGCTTACATAAAAATATAAATCCATATTCATCTTTAGTCTTGAGCAGAACTTGATTTTCTAAGCACAGAGGGAGGGGGACCTCCCCCAGCAAACTTTCAGCTCCATGCATGCAGCCTCATTCTCTGTGCCCGGCTCCTCTCTTAGGACTCGTTACATTTTAACAGCATGAACGCGATTCTCCAGGGAGCCCACATAAAGTGCTAACCCAACTGCCGTGAAAAGGAAACATGGAAGCAGATTCTAACCCCACGGCTCAATGGTGATAAGAGCACAAGTCACGATCAAGCTGATTAAAAGCTCCCAAGTCGCTACCTCCATCACCGATGTTTAAAAGCCATTTCTCATTCACCATAAGGAGTCCCTCTCCTATCTGCTGGGCCTCCCACTCTTCTCTAAGTGACAGGAAGAAACATCCTCCATACTTTAAGAGTCCAGTGCATGAAAAGACGTGGAAGAAAGGAAGGCCAACCACAATCCCCGCGGTGCTGTACACGCCCATGTAAGTCGGGTGTCAGGTCAGTCACATCGTTTTTAAGACAGTCAAATCATTTCACTTGATTATCATGACTTTTTTTTCTTTTTTGGTCTGATTTGCTTTTTTAGACAGGGACTCACTGTATAGCCCTGGCTGGCTTGGAACTCACTGTGTAGCCCAGGCTGGCTCTGAATTCAGTGCTCCACATGCAGTGCTAAGATTAAAGGTGTTTCCACCATGGCAATAATCATGACATTTTACAAAGGCAGGCCTGGGGCTGGAGCTGGCTCAGCGGGAAGAATGCATGCTGCTCTTGAGGACCAAGTTCAGTTCCTAGTACTCATTCAGGTATCTTACTACTGTCTCCAGCTCCAGGAAATCTAATGCCCTGTTTTGGCCCTTGTGGGCACCCATATGTACATGTGCATACACACACACACACACAGACACGTAAATAAAAATCTTTAAATCTCACCAATCTCAACTCTCACTTTTAAAATATATTTAGAGACAGATTTCATGAAAATGGTAAACAGTCGTCCCCTTATGGGGCAAACTGCTCCTGACCTGTACCCTGGTGTCCCCTCAACTCAAATTGCCCATTTAGTGGCCACAATGCTCTATGTAAACCTTTCGGTAGAACTTAAAATCTTCTCTGTAGAATCCTCTTCCCTTTTTGAGATAATCCCATGTAACACTTAATTTACTATTTAGTTGAGGACAACCTTGAACTCCTGACCCTTCTGCTAGCAGCTACCTCCGAGTGCTGGATTACAAGTGCCCGCTAGTACGTGGCCATCCTGACGTTTGAGGGATGAGTAAAACTACCTTTCAGCTCTCCAAGGTGAGGGGCTGCTCCTAGCTCCTGCCTCTCCACCTCTCTCCATGGACCTTTGGCTCCCACAGGTGGGTGTGTTGGAAAAATCTAGACTCTAAGAGCCAAACCCCTGCAGTCCTGCTGGCCAGCCCTACTAAGCGTCACGGCTTCATCACCCTTTACAGGGTTTTTCCTAACACAAAGCCCCGTTCTCTTCCTCACATCCCTCAGTTTGATTCCCACGAAGAGGTGTGGCTTTCTGAAGAAACCAATGGTTACTGTTAGAGCTTCTTTCTGTAGAAGGATTGCAGATTTCTGAGGGAAAGTACGAAAGCGCTCCCGAAGAGCAGCAGGGCACTCTCACAGGGGGATGCAGAATCCTCTAGGGAAGTTAATTCTAAGAAATAAGTCAGCCAGGCATGGTGGTGCACACCTTTAATTCCAGCACACAGGATGCAGAGGCAGGTATTTCACAGTGAGTTTGAGGCCAGCCTGGTCTACAAAGTGAGTTCCAGAACAGCCAGGGCTGTTACACAGTAAAAACCCTGTCTACAAAAACAAAAAAGAAAAGAATTGAAATAATTCAGTTTGAAAGAAAAATGCACATAAATCTACTATGGGAACTGGAAAGAAGATAAGGGATAAGCTGTGTGCTGTGGTACATCTGTAACATCTGTAATCCTCGCCTTTGGAGGCGGGTGCAGTAGAATCAGGATTCAAGATCATCCTTGGCCACACAGTGAATCTGAGAGCAGCTACCCGTGCTACGTGAGACCTTTCACAAACAAACAAAAGAACGGGACTCATCTGTTATAAAATGGGTACATGAACTGAGCATCAAAATAGCTTAAACACAGACACCTGGAGACTCTGGTTCATTTCATTCAATAGCAGATGAATAGTTTTTCTTCTTCTTGAGCTTGTCTTATGATAAGAATATACCAGAAAAGAGGAAAATACTAACATTTGCTATCCAGGAAAGTTTAAATGGCTTCCCTTCTCCTTGCACACGCCCCATACATACACACAATTTAATACTCCCAAAAAGATTTAAAGAGATGAATAGTTTGCACCTCTAGACTTAAACAAAAAAGGAATAGGCCAAGTGTTGGGGGACACACTTTTAATTAATTACCTCTCAGCACTTGGGAGGCAGAGGCAGGTAGATCTCTGTGAGTGCGAGGCCAGCCTCCTCTACAGAGCAAGTTCCAGGACAGTCAGAGCTAAAACAAAGAAACTCTGGAAGGCGGGAGAGAGGCGGGTGGGGGGGGGGTTCTTAAGTTGGCAGCTAGAAATGAAAGCCAAGACTTAAAAATAGGTTTTGATCACTTAGAGAATTAGAGAGAATTGTTATTGCATAATGTGAAACACAAAAACTTCCCAACTGCTGAAGATCTACTTGTTTGCTGGCAGGTAGGGTCTGTCCTGCAACCAAAAGAAGCAAACTGCCGAGCTCAGAAGTGCAAAGCCAAGCTGGGTGCAAAGGAGAGCCTATCAGCTGACCCAGCAGAGGATGACTTGGCTCCAACAAACCAGTGTGGATGAAATCATAATCTCCAACCAAATCCACACTGAGGACTCCCAATGGCAAACACACAGAGTTCAGCATCTGAGGGCTGAGTACCTGAGGGCAAGGACAACCCTTCCTGTTGCTGTTGTTGGTGATGTGGGGCACATCTGCAGTCCTAGCACTTAGGAGATAGAGGCAGGAGTTCAAGGTCATCCTTGAGACATAGCAAGTTTGATGTCAACCAGAACTATATGAGACCCTGTTTCGACAAGTCAGCATTTGTGTGCAATACAGTTTAAATCTTCAGAAATCAATTCTACCACAAAAGACACTCAGCTCTAACAAATCATGGCTTCAATGTCTCCATTTTTCTTTCTTTACAGTAGCTGCCAAGCTGGTTTCTTAGTTCTGTGCCCAGTCCCTTCACATATCCCAGCCAGCCCCGGATGCCTGCTGTGCAGTGAGAGAGCACAGTGAGTGGATCAGCGGACCCACCTGGAGCACAGCACTCTGGCAGGAGAGCCTTCTGTAAGAGGGCTGCAGCCCCAGCACACTAGCGATGCTGCACTCACGTACAGAGGCTCAAACACAGTATTAAGAGCAAGAAGAAGTTCCAGCTGAAAGTCAACTGCAAGCCAAGGTGGAAACTTTCATTAAAAGGGAAGCATGGACTGCACACAGGGGCTTACACCTTCAATCCCAGGACTCAGGAGGCTGAGGAAGGAGAACAAATGGTTTCCAGCCTGGGCTACATAGTGGGTCTCAGGCTAGACAGTGTAAGACCTTGTCTCTTACACTGTTTTTTTTTTTTCCTTTCCAAACAGTTGAATACTTGAATGGAAAAATTTGAAGTGCATGGTGGCTCACTTCCTGTAATTCCAGCACTTGGAGGTCTAATGCAGGAGGATCACAGAGGATTTTAAGCCAGCTAGCTACAAAGTGAAACCTTGTCTTCAAAGAAAATAAAAAATGAAACAATTCCTCCCAATTCAAAGTGGTCTTCGGAAAGTCTTATTTTCTGAAATTTAAGACTTGACTAATAGCACAGATCTACACACAGCATAGGACAACTCAGGGAGTGACAAGCCAGCACTAGGATGGTCAAGAGAGAAACTGAAGAGCCGCGCTCCACAGGCTGCAACTCCGCATCATCACCAGCCAAGCTTCCGGGTGACACATCCTGCTTGCAGAGCCCAGGCCTGGAAGGGCTGCACTGGGAGCACGGTTCTGGGCACCACCTCCATCAACTGCAAGAGGGATACTGAGGAGAGCCAAGAACACGTCTGCGCATGCCGTTTCGATCTGATAATCTCACTCATTTGGCAATTCATCCCCAAGGCTAGTGGAAGAATACTGAAGAAAAAGAGGCTTCTACAAATGATTTTGGATCTAAGGTTTGTGTTTGTGCCAAAAAAAGGTCATGTATACTGAGCGACATTCAGCCTTTGCTCAATGTATTTGTTAGACACGACCACACCGGTACAAAGAATACCTACAACAAATTACTGAACTTATGAGACTAATTTTTAAATCTGTAAAAACCGTAGTGCACTGGGTGATTCTAATTCTGGCCTTCGGTACCCAATGAGCGATACGTTCTGGGGTATTAATGTACTGGGGAGGAGTCAGGTGCCACACAGTGGGGGCTAACCTTGTCACTTAAAGTGCCGTTTGCAGCATTGCTCGGAATTTCAAACAGCTGGCCGCATCTGCTACTTCACCCCATGGTCTGGCCTGGCAAGGCTGACCTTGCTGCCAGATGGATGCAGCAGCATCTCGTGGCTGTGCTCCAGTGCAGGTGCAGCAGTAGCAGCAGGAGGCACAGGTGCAGAGGATGGGCTCACAGTGCACAGTCCAGCTGCTCACTCAGGGCGGCTGTGGGAGCTTCCGGGCGCCGAGTCTGCGTGATTTTTTGTTTTGGGTTTTTTGTGTCTTCTTCCTCTTCAGTTTCGCTTTCACAGACGTGCACAACCACGCTGGGGGTAGACTCGGTTCCTGCATGCAGTTCGTATTTCTCCCCTGCCGAGGCAAGCACAAGAAGGGGCCTGGCCGTCAATGGAAGGAATTAATTTATCTCCCAACTTCCTCTTCCACTAATTCATTTAACAGCTGCTGATTTTTTTTTGAGACTGAGTCTCATGAAATCTGGGTCAATCAGAAATTTGCTGCTGTAGCTGACACTGGCCTTGAACTCTCCAATTTTTCTGCTTTCATTCTCCCAAGTGCTAGGATTGTAGGCATGTGTTATTTTGGTAGGTTCGTTGTTTAAACTCTGTAAAATCATCTATCCTGCACCAGAGGGGCTTAGCCTGTTTGGTATTAAACATTTCCCTTTTTTCCCTCTCGACAGGGTCTCACTATGCAGACAGGCTGGCCTGGAACTCCCAGAGAGCTGCTTGCCTCTGCCTCCCAAGTGTTGTTAAGGGTAAGTGTCACCATGCCCTGCAGAAGTTCCATTTGTTAAAGACACTGTCCTTTCTGTCCTGGGAGTTAAAATCCAAGCATGGCTGCTAAGCACGCAGGCACCTTCAGGGCAGACCCATTCGGCATACCCTGAAACCATCCTATTCACAATAACATCCTGGCCATCATGTTAATCTCCATGACTTTAAACTGAGCATACTCAAGAATGGGCCTGCTACTGTATGAATATACACAAGCTTCCTTCATTCAGGGAGCACCTTGCTTTGGAACTAGCTCCTGTCTCTTCCTGCAGGTGAGGAAGTTTCTCCACTCTTATGTCCTATGCTTACTTTGGCTTTGTGGTTGTTATGATGGGAACCCATTGATTAGATTACATAAATACTAATTAAGTTGTTAATATAAATGCTAATTGCTATTCTAGAAACAACCGAAGTGGGTTAGTTATATTCATAAAGGTTTTAGGTCCCATGGGAGGCCCTGGCTAGGCTCCAGGCAGCAGTTTCTAGTGTAGGACCTGACTTCTGAAAGGAGTTCAAATGTCCACAGGCATAAAGCTCTTTCTTCTCGGATGCTTCTGAAGTGCCCTGAAGAGACATGCTGTCCTTAACAGCCGGGAATCAGCTCCTCACATTATTAAAGAGATGAGAGCGACAGCAAGTAGAGAAGGAAATAAAAAACAAAACAGAAGCCGGGTGGTGGTGGTGCACCCCTTTAATCCTAGCACTCGGGAAGCAGAGGCAGGCAGATCTCCTTGAGTTTGAGGCCAGCCTGGTCTACAGAGCTAGTTCAAGGACAGGCTCCAAATCTACAGAGAAACCCTGTCTTGGGGAAAGAAAAAGAAAGAAAGAAAGAAAGAAAGAAAGAAAGAAAGAAAGAAAGAAAGAAAGAAAGAAAGAAAGAAGAGAAAAGAAAGAAAGAAAGAAAGAAGGAAGGAAGGAAGGAAGGAAGGGAAGAAAGAAAGAAGAAAGGGTTGCAGAGAGAAAGTAGCAAGTGTGTTCGCTAACTGCCTGTGTGAACGCCCAGCTGAACCACTGACAGTGAAAATGATCATGCTGTACGTACCATCTAACGTTCACAACCAGATAACACAGGCTTAGCAGCTGGCTGAGGCCCACAGCATTGGAAATGCAGTCAGAGTGTGGACCCAGACTGGTGTGACAGCAGAGTCCACTGGACAGCCTGCTGTTGCTGGGCTCCACACCCCTACTGAACACCGTCTCCCATACACAAAGCTCCTGGGGACAGTAAGAGCAAAAGCAGAAGCTGTTACCTGGGCCCAGCTTGGAGACAGCACAGAGTAAGTCATAGTTGATCACAGGCATCGCATCTTCACTCTGCTTCCACCCCACGGGCGGGGAGGCTGGAGGGGAGATGAGGAACTGCTTGGTGGGCTGTGGCGGCAGTAAGTAGGACTTGTCCCGAGCCTCTCCAGACACCTGCACCTGCAGGGAAGGACATGGCCACGACCGCTTTGCAAATGTGTCTTCGTTTTCTCAATTTCTATCTTTATGGTAATTGTTACTTTCTTAGAGGGTTATTAAAATTATCCTAAATCGTTTGTGATCTTCCAGGAGGGAGACCGGGTTCACCTGGCTCACTGCACGGGGCCACACACACCGGAAACTTGATAAACATGACTTGAGTGAAAGAATCAGTGTGCAAACTGACGGACAGAGAAATGCACAGCAGTAACTATGGCTGGGATCTGGGCTCTAAGTGTTCCTCAGGGCCTACGTGGTAGAGGCTTGCTCCCCTGAGGGGTGAAATGGGAGCCTTTAGTCACTAGGAGCACACCCTAAGGCACAGGGGCACCCCAGTCCCTGACTCTTCCTGTTTCCCATGAATGAGGTGAACAACTTGGCTTTGCCTTCATGTGCTACCCCCACTGCAGGCCCAAAAGAAAAGGGACGATCATATATGGACTGAAACCTCAAAACCATGAGCCAAGACTTTTCTCCGGTACAGTTGTTATCTCTGATTTGTTACAGCGGGTGTGCTAGCTAGTTTTATGTCACCTGACACAAGCCTTCATCATTGAGAGGAAGGAACCTCAATTAAGATCGGGCTGTAGGCAAGCCTGGAGAGCATTTTCTTAATTAGTGATTAATGTGGGAGGGCCCAGCCATAAGGGTGGTAACACCCTGGGCTGGGGTCCTGGTTCTCTAAGAAAGCAAGTGAGCAAACCATGAAGAGCAAGCCTGTAGGCAGCACCCCTCCATGGCCTCTGCATCAGCTCCTGGCTCCAGGTTCCTGCCCTGGTTGAGCTCTTGCCTCGGCTTCCCTCAATGGAAGGAGATTCAGGAAAAATCCTTTAGTCTCCCAGCTCCTTTAGGCCATGGTGTTTCATCACAGATGGCATCACAGATTTCATCACAGATTAGTAACCCTAACTGCTTCACTGGGAAGAGCTGACGCACGACACAGCTCCAGTCTTAGAACAGAGGAAAATGTTTGTGTGGCGGTCAGAGGACACAGGTCAGCTCTTTCCTCCCACCATGTATGTGTGGGTTCCAGGGCTCAAACTCAGGTCATCAAGCTTAGTGGCAAGCACCTTTACCCACTGAGCCTTCTTGATGGCCCTTGAAGATTTTTTTATGTTCTACAAATGTCACATCCTAAGTGCTATTTTAGATGCAGAGAACATTTAATCCACTAACCTTGAAGGTCAGGGCTTAACCTTCCCCTCACAGAGCCCTAGCTGAGCAAAGCTGCCACAAAAATGAACCCCTTAACTGTTAGCTGCAGCAAAGACAGAAGGCTTAATATGCTCCTAAGATAATGAACTCAGGTATGTGTAAAGTAAGAGAAAACACGGCATCGTCAGATCACGGGAACGTCGACATCACAAACCTCTGACCCAGCGCTGGAGAGAGAACTGCGAGGAGCTGTGACAGAAAAGCAGCTGTGGGGACACGCAGCCACGTAGCACACCGTACCTGTGCGAAGTAAAGCTTCAGCTTCTGGCCGTGGAAGTCACTCTCATGCAGCTCTATCCGAGCTCTCGCTGCAGCCTCGGGCTTGCTGAAGTTGATCCTCACTCTGCGGAAACTCTTGAACAACTGGAATGTGACCTGGTCATCATAGAGGGTGAAGAGAGCTTCGAACCTCTCCTGTGAGGAGGGCAACAAGGCAGAGAGAAGTGGGAAGAAGAACAGAATACTCCTGTTAACAGGACGCCTGTGGAAGAGAAGTGGCCGGGTGAAGACCCTATGAAGTGCACTCCTTTCCCCATGAAAGCCCCTCTCTGGAGGGAGTTCAGGGTGGACGCCGTGTGACTCGTGCTCACATCTGCACCAACTGAACACAGCTAGCTTCGTTAAATACTGCAGCTTCAAAGGTCATAAGATAAACACGATGCATAAAACAGCACACACGTGTCTCCACACAACAGGAGCACTGCTGCCAAAGTCACCAGTGTATCCAGCTGCGCTGTTCCTCCGGCAACGGAACATCTCTGGTACTCGGGGTGGCCCTTCCCCTGCTTTCTTCACAGTGCTAGGCATTTGTTTGCTGCTTACGCCTGACACACTGAGCGAGATGTGCCTCAGAACCCGAACACCTCTCCCAGCATGTACACACAATACAACACAGAGAAATCACTCTTTTATTTATTTATTTATTTATTAATTTTTGAAACCAGGCTCTCACACAGGCCAGGTCAGCCTCAAACTTGCTAATATCTGAAGATGACCTTGCATTCTGATCATGGGGTACCACCAGGCCTGGCAGCTTCCTAAGTTTCGCTTTTAATGTCTATGTATCTTTATGCTTCAGAAAAGTTTCAGAAACAGCACATGTACACATGATCTGCATGCGATGTGTGCAGTAAACAAAGCCGATTTACTACTCACTGTCTTGTTTGGAGAGTGTCTCTCACTATGTCACACTGGCTGGTCTGAAATTCACAGAGAGCCACCTGCCTCTGCCTCCTGGATGCTGGAACCATAGTATCTTTTTATAGACTTTATAGACTGGCCTTTAAAATCTTCAAATATTAAGCTGGGCAATGGTGGCACACGCTTTTAATCCTAGCATTTGGGAGGTGGAGGCAGAAGCAGGTTTCTATGAGTTCGAGGCCAGCCTGGTCTACAAAGAGAGTTCCAGGACAGCAAGAGGTATTACACAGAGAAATTCCGTCTTGAAAAATCAAAAGTAAATAAATAAAATTCAAATACTGAACAGTTCCAGTAGTGTTTTGGTTAGGCAGACTAGGAAAGAGTTGGGGTTAGAATACCCCCAATTTCAGAAGAGCTCTTCTTCCTTTCCACTTAGCAGCTCCCTGCACAGCCTTCACCGCTGGTCCTCAGCCACTACCATGGAAAACCCATCCCGCAGGGCAGCGGGCAGTTCATGGTGCTTGCTGCCATATCCAACGACCTGAGCATTCAATCCAGGTGTTCTCTGCACTTGGTGACGTTGAGTGTCCCCATCAAAAACAGGACTCGGGGGTCAGGCAGGGCTACCTTCATATGCCCCATTACCACAAGAAGGCATTAAAACCCAGTGTCCTATGGGTACCTACAGCAACAGATAAACAGTCTGTATACAAAGGGACAATCCCCCACCGGACACATGACATTTCATACCAGCCAATCCTACCTAGAGCAATTCTCTGACGCTGGAGAGATGCCTCAGTGATCACTTGGTACTCAAGTTGAGAACTGGTGTTTGGACACCCAGACCTCACAGAAGAAGCTGAGCAGGCCTGATGGCCTGTGACCCCAGTGCCTCGGGGGAGTCAGGAGTTGGAGTTAGACTAGCCGGACCAGTGAGTTCTAGGTTCAGTGAGACACCTGATATTAAAGTCTGATCACCTCATGCAAGCATACACGTGCCCACAAGCACATGTGTAAACACACACACACACACACACACACACACGTACATGCACACACATACACTCCACATACATATATACAGAACTTCACTCTGTATTAACATCGACTGAGTCCACTACAACACACATTAGAAAAACATGTATCATACTTTTAAATTCATGCTCAAACACGAGCATGTCTGTTCCCTATTTAAGAAAAGGAAAGTTGGGGGCAAGGGCAGCTTGATGATCTGAGTTTGATTCCTGAGCCTACACGGGAGAAACAGCCACAGCCTCCTGAAAGTTGTCCTCTGGCGTTTATACTTGTGCTGTGGAATGTGTCTCACCCCTAAATAAATGTAAAAGATATTTTTAATTAAAAATTTTTTTAAAAAGGGGGAAACTTTGTATTAAAAACAACAAATAAGCTGGATGGTGGTGGTGCACACTTTAACCCCAGCACTCGGGAGGCAGAGGCAGGCGGATCTCTGTGAGTCTGAGGTCAGCCTGGTCTACAGAGTGAGTTCCAGGATAGCCAAGGCTGTTATAGAGAAACCCTGTTTTAAAAAAAACAAAACAAAACAACAACAAAACTGCTTAGGGCCAAGCACATGTGCTGCTCTTGCAGAGGACCTGGATTCATTTTCCAGCATCTACACTCTAAATGGCTCACAACCACCTACAATTCCAGTTCCAAGGGATCTATTACCCTCATCTAGTTTCTCTGGAGATCCATACACATATACACACAAATAAAACTTTTTTTTTTAAAAAAAGAAGAGCAAAAGAAAATCAACAAGAACTCAATTTTTCATCGAATCAAAACTTTCCCAGGCCATGTGTGGAAAAAACGGAAATAAACTTCCTGGTGTGAAGCTCCTCCTAATAAGGACGTGTATCTGTTATTATCTGTGTGCACAAGTGGGTATCGGGGAGTCTCGGAACTGTGTGGCACCCATGCCCTCCTTTCACCATCCTGTAGGTTTTTGGGGGCAGGGGTTGTCAAGCTTGCACCGTTGAACATCAAGCACCTTCCCCTAAAGATCCATCTCACTGCCCCGAAGGATTTGTAATCTTAAGATAAAGTGGTCATAAGATCCTCTCAGATACCAAAATGCTTGTAGAATAAATGGCGGATATAAACAGGGCAGTATTTGCAAAGAACTGGCACACTGCTCCAGATGCACTGAACAACCTCTGGATGATCTACACAGAATACAGTGTAAATAGTTTTCATACTGCATTGCTAGGAACAACAAACATCTATAAATATTCAGTATAGAAACAACATACTCTTTTCTCTCTCTCTCTCTTTTCTTTTCTGAGACAGGGTCTCACTATGCAGCCCTTGTGGGACTCACTATGTAGACCAGGCTGGCTTCCAACTCAGAGACCCACCTCCCCTCCCTCTGCCTCCCATGTGCTGGAATTAAAGCTGTAGATGCCCCATGTAGATACAATTTCTTAATGGAACCTTTTCCATCAGTGGCTGTTGAACTCAGAGATGCTATATCCACTGATAGATACAAAGGGCTGGATTTACCTGTGCTTTCTTATGATAACAAACAAATCGTCTCTAACACGAAATTTGGAGCTCTTAAACAGATGAGAAAAACAGGATGGACAATTGCAGGATTCTAAACTGTGACTGGACTGGGCAAAGCAGCAGCATTTGTGAGATAAACCAGCCTGCAAAGAAAGCCTTGGTGACTGACCATGCCCGCCAGCCCCTGTGGTGTAGGACTCCTGAGTCTCCCCAGCACACACACATGCCCAGTGCAGTTTGGACTGCCGCCCTTTGCTCAGAAGCCCTCGGGACTGCATCCTGCAGAAGTCCCAGATGCCAGCTCTTCCACTTGGCATCAGGGTACTTCACAGGATGGCCCAACATCTGCCTCCCAGCCAAATGTTCTTGACTTGGACAGTTATTGCCTGTGTGCCAACCACTCTTGCTCCTGCTACTCACTATCCTAATTAGGTTTCTTGGTATATCTGGTTTCCTCTGGCTAAA